GCTTGCCAGGCAGGCGCTTTTGCCGCTGAGCTAAATCCCCAGCCCCTTTTTTTTTTTAGAATATTTTCAATAAATCCAAAATAAATTCTTTACTCATTAGCTGTTGCTTCCCTTTCTTTACCCTCTATAATTTCAACTTCTTAAGCCACCAGATTATCCTCTGGTTCTGTAGATTTACTTTTTCTGGACGTTGTATATAGACGGTCATAAAATATGTGGCCTTTTGTGGATAGCCAATTCCACTTAGCATAATGTTTTTCTAGCATAACGTTGTAACATGTGTCAGTGCTTTGTCCTCTTTTTATGGCTGAATAATAGTCCATTGCATGCATATACCTAATTTAGTTTACCCACTCATCAGTTAATGGACATTTGGTTGTTTCTAGTTTTGGGCTATTATGAAGAATTCTGTTATCAACATTTCTGTACATGTTTTTGTGTTGATCATGCCCTTAACTTTTAACCATATAAGGCAAAAGGTCAAATAGAAGAACTCTTATAGTTACAATGAAATTTTACAAAATTCATTTTGGAGTCATTTTAGATGTTTTAAGATGTATGCGTTTCCATAGACAATATCAGAAAGGCTTATCCTGACAGGGAAACTGGCATCATCACATTGTCAAAAATTAAGAAATCTCTGAAGACTACATGTTCCCTAAGATCCCTTTTTACACCAAGTTAACAGCTTACTGCCTCTGTTGCCTCACTTTGAATAGAAAAATAAGGACTAGGGGCTGGGGATTGCCTATCTTGGGGAAATGATCAAACATCACTAAGCCCACTGCAAGCATCAGGAATGACTACACTCATGAGATTGGACCTTGGACAGAAGTTTTATGCTGAGCGTGACCTGCCCAGGTACTCTCCGGTTCCGCATTCTGGTCTGACATTTTTTGCTCCTGCCTGCATTTCACCTCTGCCAGGTTACTACCTCTGCCTGTCTCAGCTTTCTTTGCCTACACATAGAGACTGTCACTGCTGAATCTGCCCCTCCAAACTTCTCTGTGCCACCTTCAAGATTTTGGACTGAACTCCAACACAGGTTGCCATGTTGGTTTAATTCCCCCACCGGACTCTAGGTCTGCTAGGTGTTCTTTGGTGGTCAGAGATGTTCAGGAGAGACTCAGTAAATGCTTGTGAACATATGACTCATAAGACTTCCATCCACACTGCATAAGTGAGGGTAAGGGGCCCAAACGAGCTCATGACTTAGATGCATTTCTCAGTTATGAATGGATGGCATATTTCTCCAGTGATCAACGCCCTTGGGAACTTATTCCTGAGGCTCTCTCATCAGATAGCACAGTATTATATTAACACTGTGAATTCATTGAATTTAATAATAGGGACAGATTCAGAGGAATAGGAAGCATATTCTAAGATTAGAATCATCAAGCAGTTTCAACTAAAGTTTGACTGATTATTTCTTTTGTTTTGTATTGCAGAATGATCTTACTTTGTACTTCAGGTTTTAATTTCACTGAAACTCAGTGAGTTGGGATTTTTTTGTTTTGGCCAGCATGGAAGCCCAACTTAGAAGGCTGAATCACAATTTACTGCTAGGAGGCCCTGCCAAGCTCTGCCATTCTTTCAGAGGAGGGTTTCCCTGGGAAGCCAGCTTTTTTAGATAGTTGCAGGGCTCCAGTTGGGGAATATCAGGATTCTGCTGGTAATACTTCTGTAACTTCTCTAGAACTGTGGGCAGCCCAACTGTGGAGGCATAGAACATGGGCCCGCCCTTGTGTCGCGGCCAGCCATACCCATGCAAGTAGATCACATCAATGTGCTCTGGGCTAGCAGCCATCCCTTCTCCCAAGATACAGAAGGCTTCATTGATAAGTGCATACAAGCAGCGCTCCAGGATCTCATTCTGCCCAATGACACGTGGTTTGATGTGATGGGTTTCTCTGTACTCTGACAGGAATTTGGAAAGCCAGGGGTCAGGTTTGTGAATCCTACCCAGTGGCTTGTCATACTGATACCAACCCTGACCAGTCTTCTGGCCAAACCGTCCTGATTCACAGAGCATATCAGGAATGGGGCTGTATCTTGCATTGCCTCGCTTTCGGGTAGGAGTGCCTGAAGGCAGCATAGGCCCAGTGAGACCCTGCCCCTTGCGAACTTTCCAGCCCACATCTAAGCCAGCGAGGTCAGACACTCGAAAAGGCCCCATTTTGAAACCAAACTCTTCCAGTACCTGGTCTATGTCCTCTGGTTTACTGCCATCTTCTAACAAGAAATAAGTCTGGTCATAATAACGTTTCAACATTCGATTCCCAACAAATCCATAACAGTTGCCTACAACTACAGCAATCTTTTTAATCTTCCTCGCTAGGTTCATAACAGTGGCAATGGTAGTAGGGGAAGAGCGTTGGCTGGGAATAACCTCTAACAACTTCATGACATGAGCTGGGGAGAAGAAGTGAGTGCCAATGACCAGCTGAGGGCGATTGGTGGAAGCAGCGATCTCATCCACATCCAGAGCTGAAGTGTTGGTGCACAGAAAAGCTTCTGGCTTGCACACAGCTGACAGTTCAGCAAAGACCTGCTTCTTCAGGTTCATGTCCTCAAAGACTGCTTCAATGACTAAATCGACACTGGCAAGGTCCTTTATAGATGAACTGAACCTAGGTTTTGGTCCTGACCTGTGCTGCCCACTCTGTTGCATGCTTTTGGATGTTTCTTTCTCCAGGATGGAAGTTACTATCTTCTGTGCAGCTGCTAGCTGCTTTTGGTCTGATTCCACAGCAATCACAGGGATCCCGACCCTTGCAAAAGAAATGGCAATGCCTCGGCCCATTGTTCCCAAGCCTGTAGGTAGAGAGTGAAAAAGAATGATTCAAGGGTACTGGGAACTGGAAAATCATGTACTGTAAGAAGCTTTTCTAGCAATGTGGCATTTAAAAAGACTGATGAGGATATAGCTCAGTACTATAGTATGTGCTTAGCATACTAAGGGACCTGGTTTCAAAACACACACACATAAATATATGTATATATTTAAGGAACACAAACTGATTGAGTTCTATTTTAGACTAGGCACTATGTTAAGTGTTCCAGAGGAAATAAAAATTTGAACACACACACAGAGATATATGCTATTAAAACTAATAAATGGATCCAACTAAGTTTCACAATACACAAAGTACAAAAATCTATGTATCTCTATGTACAATCTGAGTATGAATAGAAAAAAAATTCCACCTAAAATAGCATCAAAAGAATAATACGTTTAGGAATATATTTAACAAATAATAGGAAGACCTGTGCTCTAAAGTCAATAAAACATTGTTGAAAGGCATTAACAAAGGGCAGTGGTATAGCTCAGTGTTATACCAGTCTCAATCCCAAGAAGAAAAGAAAAGAAAAGGGAAGAAAAGAAAAGAAGTAACTGAAAGAATTATCTGTGCATGGTAGCTCCTGTCTATATTTCCAGATCTCTGAAAGGATGAGAGAGGAGGATTGCAATTTCAAAATCAACCTGGGCAACTTAGTGAGACCCTCTTTTAAAATTTTAAAAATAAAAAACAAAATGGCTGGGGATTTTGCTCAGTAGGAAAGCCCTGGGTTCAATTGCCAGTATCTCAACAAACAAAATAAAAACCTATGAAACAACAAAAAACAATCATGGTGAAGTAGGGTAAATTGGGGAGACTGAACTGTACCAGTTTAGAAAGGGAAAAGAACAAGAAAGAATATTTTTTAAAAAGGCAAGAAGAACGGTTACTGTAGAAAAATTATTTGATACTAAAGATGTCACTATTTGTTTCCATAGAATTTCCTTTTTTTCCTGGGTATGCCTAAGGCTATTTTCTAGACCCCTTACATCCTAGGAGGACCTGTAACTAATTCTGGTCAAGGAAATGTAGTGATAGTAGAGGAGATGTAAGATCTGACACTGGCTGCTGAAATCTTCTATGCCATCCATCATTGACACCCAGATATAGAGGACAACTCTGAGGCCTTGGAAGAGATCCCAGACCAGGTATAGCCAAACTAGGCCCTCTGGGGCAAGCCCAACCACCATTTTGTACAGCCTGTGAGCTAAAAATGTTTTTACATTTCTAAGCAGATGAAAAGAATAAAAAGAATACTATTTTGCAACATATGCAAATTATATCAAATTCCCATTTCAGTGTCCTTAAACAAAGTCATATTGGAACATAATCATGCTAATTACTTTCCATAATGTCTATGGCCATTTCTGTGCACTATGGCAGATGTGAGTAGATGTTATGGCCTACAAGTCTCAAATATTTACTATCTGGAAATCTGAAGAAAAAGCTTGCTGACATAGAGAGTGGGACAGCCCCTAGCTGGAAAGAGCCTGATCCTGGAGGAGCCTGATAAAGTACGAATAAATCAATCTTTATTATGCTACATCACTGAGATTGTTTTGTTATCTGTCACAGCAACAGGTAATTGTTATCTACCCAACTCGGTGTGGATGAAACAGCTCTGTGAAAGGCATTTATTACTTATTTACTTGTTTATTTAGTTTTGAAAAAGAATCTCACTATGTAGTTCAGGCTGGACTTGAACTCACTGTGTAGCCCAGGCTGGTCTCAAACTTGCAGCAATCAACTGCCTGAGCTTCCCAAATGGTGGGATTACAGGCATGCACCACCACGTCTGGCTGAAAGCCATTTATAGTGGGGATTGGTTTTGAATACAGAATATGTCAGTCCTCAGATATCACTGACTTAGTTTCTCTAGATTATATTGGTTTACTTTTCCAAATTCATTGAATTATTTAATATTACATTACCTACAGTGTAATAAATGAACATATTGTTATACATATATGATATTTTAAAATTACCTGGTTTGTGAACTTTTAAACATCTGTGTTTCTCTCAGTAGTAAGTAGGCCAAATAGCTCTCATTGCTGTAGCAACTCACATCCTAAACTCTGGCTTGAGAAAATATCAGGAAGCAAAGTGTGGAGTTGAAAACTAGCTGTTAGTTCCAAGCATACTATAAAATTACTAACATTGGAGAAACTGCGATCTCTGTGGACAGTAAGGAGTAACGGGGTGTTAGGGGACAGAGCTCTGTGAACTGAGAGCTGGGAAGAGCAGGAAAGGCAGAGCACCATGGTGAAGACGCAGTGCGGGACTTCAGAGCCTGCATCCCACCTCAGGCTGTCTGCTGGGGGTTGGAACGTCGAGGGGGAAACTTGACAGGGAGTATGGTAGAAGGTCAACGACTCAGAGTTTGAGGACACTGGCAAAAGAATGGCTGAAGTGATGGCTTTTCCAATTAAACCTGAATGTTCAAGAATATAAAAGTAAGGGGAACTGATCAAGTCAAGGATGTAGGTGAAATAACCAACCGCAAGACACAGATACATAAGAGACTGTGGAGAAATGGTGGGGTTTTAAATTTCAGAGTGGGGAAATTTTCCCAATGGTGGCAAGACCTATGGGGAAGCCATATATGTCGATGGTGAAAGTGAGGTGAAGTGAGGCAAATGCCACTGAGTCTGAGGAAGCAGAGGAACCCAGAAGCTACAGTGGGGAGAACTGTCCACACAATTGGGATGGGTACTGGGATTGGAACCAAAGTAGATGACTGTGAGCCAGGTACTGACGTTTCCAGGAAGGAGAAAGAGTAATGACATTAAAGACGGTGGATAGAAAGATGAGCTCACATAGCAGGTCCACAAACAAGAGGGTCCAGAAAGGAGTAAGAGATTTGAGAGAGAATTAAAAGGGGACTCTGAGAGCCACAGTGTGGGGGAAAAGCAGGAACATGTTCATGAGCCAGCTGAGGGGAAGCAGGTCCTCAGGTAAGCCAGATTTTGATCAGGAGACAGAAAAGAAGGTGCCCAGGGAAGAAGAGGAGCAGTTGGAACATTCTAGAAGGCATGTGGGACTAGCAGAGGCTGTAAAACAAAGTGATAGTGGTTCTGCACTGGGAGAAGAGAACGGACCCAGGAACCAGAAAGAAATAGAATTCATTTCAATACCTACCCATAAGAATGACAGGTCACAACTCGAATTACACTACAAATAATCACTGTTAGAGTGATTCATATAGGAAATAGGTGAGTAAAAAACTCCCACAGTCTGGCGTCAGACAGACCTAGGGTCAGGCCTTCACACCATTGGCGTTTAGCTCGCTGTTGAAAATGTTTACATCTCTAGGACTCACGCATAAAATAAAGAAGGCTTGATGAGACTAACCGAGCTAACAAGAGTAGTATGTTCAGCATAGAACTTGGTGCCAGCAGGCCCTCGTTTATGGCAGCATGGAGAATCCCATGAGCTACCCCATGCGCTCACCGAGAACACCAACTGAGGAGACGGGTCGTGCAGTAGCTGTTTTCCAGGACGCTCCAGATGGCGTTGACCACTTGGCTGCATTTTTCTCAGCAAAGAAAGCATACTGCAGGGCTCTGGCCTGCCCGGATTGCTGCAGGTACAGAAACAGATCTCTCTCTTTCTTGATGCCTTCTTCATAAGGGTACTTCACGGAGGCCTGGACTGAACGGACACAGGTCTCCGGAGCAAGGTACCCGGGGTACCGCTTCCGCATCTTCTCAAAGGCTTCACTGAAAATGGCGTCCATGTTGGGCAAGCTGGGAACTGGCCTGTTGAAGATTCTGCGAGGTTCTAGAGGTTGATCTGAAAGGAGTAAGAGAGAGCAGAGCGCTGACGATGTAACTTACATTTATTAGCAAAATAATAACAGTAAGAACTGATTCAACATACCAGATTAAATACTATTACTCAAGATAGTTAATGGAACATTAATACCAAAATCACCAGCATTGTTGTAATTTAGTCCAGTAAGATGGAATTTAACCATGCCTATAATCCCAGCTTTCTGGGAGGTGGAGACAGAGGGATCACAAATTCCAGCCCAGCCTGTGCAATTTATTCACTTTGTGAAAGCCTGCTTCCGAATGAAAAATAAAAAGGGCTGAGGATTTAGCTCTGTGCAAAGGCCTTGGGTTCAAAGCTCCATACTAGAAAACAAACAAATGAAGACAGGCTAATAGTAACACAAAGTAGACATAGAAATGAATGCAAGACAACTGAAGTGGCATCAATAAATCCTTCCAATTATGGCTAACTGATTTTCAACACAGGTGGAACACAACTTAGTGGAGCAAGGAGTGCCTTTTGAACAAATGGTACTGAGGTAATTGAATATCCACATATAAAATAAATAGAAATTTTAGTTAATTAAAAAGTAGACCCCTCCCTAACACTGTTAGCACAGAAACTAATTCAAAATGGATCAAAAATCCATAGATGAAGTAAACTTCTAAAAAATTGTAGAAGACAACAGAGGAACATCTTTATGATGTTGGGTTAAGGAATATTTTCTTATGTATACTCCCAAACCAAAAGTTTTAGCTATAAGGGGCTGGGGATTTAGCTCAGCGGCAAAGCGCCTGCCTGGCAAGTGCAAGGTCGTGAGTTCGGTTCCCGGTACCGGAGAAAAACCAAAAAAAAAAAAAAAAAAAAAAAAAAAAAAAAAAAAAAAAAAAAAAAAAAAAAAAAAAAAAAAAAAAAAAAAAAAACAAAAGTTTTAGCTATAAAAAATAATAATTTGTACAGAAAAGGAATTAAACACTTTTGACTATGAAAGCCACCGAAGAAACAAAAATTATAGGAAAAGAAACAAAAGCCATGGTGTGGCTCAAAGTATTTGAATGGAAGGCACAGTAATGCTCCCTCCCCACCCCGCCCAAATAAAGCAGGGAAACATAGAAAGGAAGGAACCGCACAAGGCTGCAAATAAAAATAAAAGTACATAAGCATAGTTAACTATGCATTTTGTGGGGGTAAATATGACCAGTATAAGTAACTTTGAATCAGTCCTTCTGAACTGCCCTATTCCTCTACCTTATATTTCTAGCAATTATTTATGACAATGCAGCAGCAAGAAATCACAAGATTTCCAACAGTGATACTCACTACTTGGACCAGACCCTGGGGGCTGACCATCACAGCCTTTATGTTTTCAGAATAGGTTTTGGAACCAACTAATTATGTGGAAACCTTTCCTTCTCTGGATGAAGAATACAAAGCTCCCAAAGGAGACTGGTTGTGGTCCACGTGGCTAAGGCTGAGATAGAATGTGTGTCTTCTGACACAAAGTCCTCAGCCCATTTCTCTATCAGAATACCCTTTTCAGGCTAACCAGGCTTCCCTTTTTCTCTGGGGAAAATTCATCAGGGTCAAAAGCTCACAGTTTCTTCAATGGCATGTCTTTGAACTTTGACCTTTTAAAATGAGTCTTTGCTTCCACCACCCGGGAGACCAGATGCTGTGTTCTGCCTGTAGCCCAATATTCTTTACAATTATTTTTCTAAGCAATTTTTACCCACCCCTTCTTGTCATAAAGCTGACAACCTCCACAGGCTGAAGAGTTTAAAATCCTATTTCTTCAGGAAACACTCGTGTCATAAAAATTTCCAAAGAATACAAAAGGGCAAACTGTAGAAAGACTTTCCAATTGCTCCCACTGATTGACCAGTACTGTACTCAGAAGGAGTTGTTCCATTTCTTGTGAATCATCACAGACGTATTTTATGCATAGTTACACTTATATACTCTTTGGATTTATACTTTCTCTTCTGGCCTCCCTTTCTTTTGCTACACAAATGGCAAACTACCACATACAACAATACTTTTTCACTTACTACTAAATACACCGTGGATTTTTTTTTTTTTTTTTTTTGGTTTTTCTCCGGTACCGGGAACCGAACTCACAACCTTGCGCTTGCTAGGCAGGCGCTTTTGCCGCTGAGCTAAATTCCCAGCCCCTTACACCGTGGATTTTATACCACATTGGTAAATTCTTTTTTAAATTGTATCATATCCTACCACATGGGTGGCCCATAAAATATTAAAGAATTCTCCCCATTAAAGTGGACATTTAGCTTGTTCACAGTTTGGGCTATTTTTTTTTTTTTTTTGTCTTTTTAAGACAGAGTCTCGCTCTGCAGTTCAGGCTGGCCTTAAGCTCACTTTATAGCCTAGGCTGGTCTCGAACTTGCAGTGATCCTCCTGCCTCAGCCTCCCGAGTGCTGGGATTACAGGTGTGCGCCACCACACCCGGCTTGGGCTATTTTTATCATTAACTTCTTACTTAAAATTCTCTGAGTGAATTTGATTGCTTCTTCAACTGGGTCTGAGTTGACAACTTCATCCAGAATACCCAACTTGAATGCTTCACCTGCCAAAACATGCCGTCCTAAAACAGAACAAAGTAAAACAAATAAAGAGCCATGTGAGATTAAAGTGAAAGCATTGGGCGCTCTCACAGGAAAAGTGTCTTTCCTGGATATACATGTCTATTAAGTGAAATGAATAAGGAGCGTCCCAACTGCTGAAGTAGAAAGACCACGCAGCAGACACAGCCAGTAATTTGAATTCAAGGTGCAGCCCTATTTTTATTCCGTATGACCACAGCAAACTGTGCTAAGACCACAATTTCCTCATTGATAAATGGGAATAATTATGCTTACTGCACAAAGTCTGAGTACTGGTGAAGAGTAAATAGTCTATATTTTGTAAATCCCTACAGAAGTACTTTATAACCTATGAATCTCTGTACACATACAAGAGGTGGTTGATTTTCAGATAATAACAGAGGTGGTGGCAGCAGAGAAGCAGCAGTACTGTCTATCACATACAGCCACACGTCAGAGGCTGCCATGGATTGACGAAACAGTCCTCAAACATGAACACACTTAAGTGGGTTGAGGGAAACGTAGTGATTACGTTGATGTGATATGGTCTAAGATGGAATTACACAGGGCAAATGGGGTGGCTTTCTGCCATTTTCTGGCTACATCCCATCTCGACTCTTTTTTAGTTTCTGGAATCTCTATTGTGTGAGCCTTGGAGCCCTGCTTCCTGAAATGGAAGCTGGAAAGAAAGCCGAGATGATGGGGCCATTGCTCCTTCAGTCCCCTGGCAATGGGCTGTAGGCCACAATCATAAGCTCCAGTGAGCGTTCTTAGTCTAGAGTCATTGATCTCAAGCGGTAGCTTAAATCTCATTCCACAGGTGGCAACAGCTGGTCCCAGGTAGCGGCAGCACCGGCAACTTGCATTGTTCAGTGATGGAGCCAGCATCCAGTAGGAGACGTCACTTCTAGGACTTACAGAAACTTCATGAGGGTTGCATTAATCCCAAAGAGTCCCAGCAAATCTTTACCAGATGGAAAGTAATATGGTCTGAAACTTTTGAAGTAGGGTGCTAGGACTGTAAGCATCCATTCCCACATGGTCAGAAGGAAGGCAATAATGACACTGTCGCCTTCTTGCCAGGACGATGCTGCCTTCCGAAAGTGATCAGCAAATCAGTCTTGGTGGCAACAATTCCAGTGTCTTCCTGTCTCTTATCTAGAATGTTCTGCTTTCCATCTCTGGGACAACACCCCCATTCCTGGTTCTTAGGGGTGCTTTAGAGAACTATGAATGGATTTTCTTCACCAGATAGAGAGTTTGGTGACTTTCCAGGGATCCATCTGTAAAAGCAGCATTTGGACACAATTCTGGAAGTGCCTTTGAAACAGGCTTCCAGATTGCAGCCTAAAATGAGCAAGGGATGGGAGTGTGGGAGTGGTGTTGGGATTCAATATCCTGTGTTGAAAGTCACTTAAGTGAAGAGTAAATAAGCCAGCCTCACAGGGTTAAAAGATCCAGAGGACATAAATGGAAGGTGGAGACATGATTACTAAAAGGTCTCTCAGGAATGGAGCAGAGCAATGTCAACAACTCCCAGGGTATTTTTTCAGCAATAATGGTGTCATTGAGCTTGAATTTCAGAAAAAAGAAAGAGTATCCCCACTGTCCTTCCAGTATCAATGGCATTTGAAGTCCTTTTGAGATAGGAGAACTAATATAACTCTTAACTTTCTAGATGTCAGATACACCAAGCTTGAGTTTTTTGAAATTGAAAAATAAATTCTAAGGAACAGAGGTTAAGAGTAGGAAAATTTTTTTGAATGAGAGCTCCTGAGAGAGGAGGGGACATGAAAGTGGGTTGCCAATGAGCCCACTTTATAAAGGAAGTTTTATAGTGCAAAATGGCAAGATGGGTACAAAAATCACAAGGTGGGTACAACATGGGTCAAAATTGTGATCAACAAGTGAGATTATAAGTATTGCCACTTAGGTGATATTGATCTAATGGGGAAACAGATCATGTAGCACGTCTACATGGAAAAACCATTTTAGGAAGGGACGGGTTAGGAGGTCCCTGTCATCCACTTGGATGACTGATGTCTATCTAGACTTTATTGGACCAGGTGATATCAATTTTACTATAATAATATAGTACCTTTAATTTATTGCTTTTCCCTGAGGGAGGCACGTAGGCCTGGTCATTTTGTCTTTATCTAGAGACCTCTAGATGTGCCTTTACCCACAGTTGTACTGTGTTTTCATCTTCTGCACTGGCTCCCTCAAAGGCCTAGCTCCATCTATAATATTTTTACCCAACTTAGCTGTCTACCATATTCCCTCCTCTGAAGAGGTACCCTAACTAACGTGAGGGGGCAAAGGGCAATGACCATTTTGGCCATTTTGGGCTGAAGGCAGCCGTAGTTGTGATCTGCAGTTAGAGATACTCTCCAAAGAGTCTATCTAAAGTCTCTTAATATATGCCAGGCATTTTCTTCTTGGGTAGGCATATAGCTTTAAGTCTGGAGGGAACAAGGCCAAAGAACCAGTTAAGTATATATGAGCCAAATAATAAGATCAACAAGACTATTATGAATACAACCAATAAATTTTTGCACAAAAAGAGTGAGTAATAGCTCCCTACAAAAAAGGTAAGAAGAAGGTCTAGGGAACTTTAGAATCTGACATGGAATTAACCTGTCATTTAAATCTTGAACAAGCATAGAGATATTAGCAGAAGGATCAGGAATGTACACACAACATTTAGCTTTTATAATTGCACAAGTGCTCCCTTGTGGTGGTGTTAGCATATTTAATGCCATCTGATTTTGGAGGACAGCTTGTTTTATTAATTTTATTTCTTCATTTAGGAGAGAGAGACCAGTTGAAGTGTCATTTAAAACCCATTGAGTATAGTTAGTTAATGCCTCCATGTGTTGCATGACATCTTCTAATCCAAAGGAAGGAACAAAGATAGAAGCCAAATGGTCATACCAATGAAACACACTAGATCATTAGTGTTGCAGAAGGGGAAAGCTTTCAGGTTTGTTGATATTTTTGACACTCCTGCCTTGTAATCACACAAATCCCAGTGTGCATTTCCCTATCTACCTAGGGGGTAGCAAGGCCACAAACTGGGTCCACAGAGCCAAGGAGTGCCCTTGGAGGCTTCCCATTCAATTCCGAGGTGATTAAACCAGTCTGTTGTAAACTAGTCTTTGACCTATAAAGTTTTGGTGTTTGTACATTATTCTTGGGGCATTTAGTAGAGTTAAACCAAAGAGAATAGGAGTGATTTGTTTATTCCTAAAATGAGGGAGCCTTTCTACTAAAGTGTCCTATAATAGACGTGAGCCACATGTGATCATCCCACATCTGAAAGTGGCCACCATACTGTCTATGTTTGTTGGCTCTCATGATAAGACCCTTCCTCTTACTTAATAGGGGTTCTATTAGGTCTACAGAGAGGCTTTAGTAACATTCTTAGAAAAAATTTGATTATATTCAGGATCATTAAGGGTAGAGTTTATGTTTAGGTCAAGTATGATCAAGGGACCCTTCCCAAACCAGGGGGGCCTAAGGGAAGACCCTTCAGCAGCTATTTTGCAGCTGCATTGGCCAGTTGATTACGCTGAGATTCTTTGTCAGTTCCTTTTTGGTGCCCACTAAAGCAAATTACCACCACTTTGGAGGACTTATAGACAGATGGTAAAAGTTCATCTATCTTCTTATGATACTTTATGGGAGACCCACTGACTGTTAATTTCTTTCTTTTCATACGGTTGCATGAGCATGTAGCACTAGGAAAGTGTACTTTGAATCAGTATAGCTATTGACTTTCTGTCTTTCAATGAGTTGTAAACCCCTTTGTCAGAGGTATTAGTTCTGCTAGATGGCATTAGTCCCAGGGGCAACTGAGGAACTTTTGAGTATCTGATGTGGAGTTACTATTGCATATCCTGCCTTTCTTGTTCCATTTTCTATGAAAAAACTGCTGTCACAGAAGAGGGTCAAATCAGGATCAGTAAGGAATGTGTCTAGTAAGTCTTCTCTGGCTAAGTACATATGGAAAATTGCCATTTGCAGTCATGGCTTTCTGCCTCCATTTCCTCCTTTTTTGGTAGAAAGGTGACAGAGTTTAAGGAGGAACATATTTTTAGTTGAATGGCTGGTCCTTCTAGAAGCAGAGCCAGGTATTTATGAAGTTGGTTGTCTGATAGCCATAGGCTCCCTTGGGAAGAAAGAAGTCCTGCCACATTGTGAAGTGTATATACAGAGAGATCTTTGCCTAAAGTCAGTTTGGATGCCTCTGGTACCAGGAGAAATATGGCAGCCACAGCCCTAAAGCACACAGGACATCTCTTTGCTACTATGTCTTCGTAACCTAGATAACCTACAGGTTGTTGAGCAGCTCCCTGATCCTATGTAAGCACTCTCAAAGCCATGCCCACCTTTCATCAACATATAGATAAATTGGTGTCTTGTCAGTAGACTCAGTGCTACGGCATAGAGAAGTGGTTTCTTAAACTCCTGGAATGCAGTTTGGGAATCAGGTTCTTATGTTAAAATATGGGTATCTGCCTTTTTGGCTTCCTTTTTAAGCTGATAGAGGGGTCATGTGATCTCACCATACCCTACTATCCAAAGGCTACAAAAGCCTGTAATTCTTAGGAATCCCCTTAGCTGGTTTAGGGTCTTTGGCTGAAAGAAGGAAACTATTGGTTTAATTCTCTCTTTCTCCAGTCTTTGGGTTTTCATAGGTATTAAAAAAAGTCCAAGTATTTCACCTTGAGGCTGCAAAGTTGTGCCTTAGACCTAGAGGCCTAATAACTCCTGTCTGCTAAAAAGTTTAGCAGCACACAGGTGCCCTGGCTAGAGAGCTCTTTTGAGGGAGCACATAACAGTATATCATCTACATATTTCAGGACTCTGACTTAGGAAAATTTTTAAAAAATGCCAAGTCATGGGAAAGAACTTGTCCAAAAAGATGAGGACTGTTCCTGAACCCTTGAGGAAACACAGTCCAAGTCAGTTGAGAGGCCTGGGCATGAAGATTTTCAAA